GAGAAGGTTGGAAGGGAAAAAGGAGGGAGGGGGATTTGGGGTGGGGAGGGGCCAACCTATGGCCCATTGGGTTGGGTTGACCACACTTGGGAAGGGGGTTAATCTATGGCCCAATGGGTTGGGTTGGCCTCACTTTGTGAAGTGGGGTACCCTATGGCCCATAGGGTTGCATTTAGGGGCTCCACCACAATTGGGTTGGATTGGCACCCCAAAATGCAAGACTACACCCAAAGTTGGGTGTAGTCCCAACCCAACTGTACACCACAATTGGTGTACAGTCACAAGTGTTAGCATGCTAGAACATAGGAATTCTAACAGAAACAACGCACATAGGCTTGCAGGACTTGAGATGGCATGGCTTGCACGCAGCATATTGAACTGCTGCGGCAAAGCAGGAAGCACGCGTCACGGGAATTGAGATGGTTTGGGCTCACCGGGTTCATGGCGGTGAACTGCTGCAGCGTGAGGCCATACATGGTGTACACGTCCTTGCACCTCCAGTCTCTGCCCACGACTGTGATGGACGAAATGTTCTCCCAACCCCGATCTGCACACGTTTCAATTCAACGGAAAGCGGTGATAATGCCACGTGCGCGTGGGCCAGCCATTAGTGGACAACAACATAGCAACACATTTGATCCGGGAAGCACATAGCTTCAGTTTCTACAGTATCCACTGGTGTCAAGTGCCCACAGTATCCACTGGTGTGTGAAGCGTTGGCAGCAGAGAGTGAGCTTACCACAGTTGTAGCAACGAGAGTCACCACAGTCGTAGACGTTCAAGCGGTGGTTGGGCAGGCAGACGCAGGTCCAGCCTTCGATACCGCGGTTGATGCACGTGCCTCCCAAACACGCGTTGACTCTGTCGTAACCACACTCGCCCGCTTGCGGGAGGCACACATAAGGAGCAGAGGAGGGCAAGCACTGAAGTGGCAAGGAGGAAACAATTGGGGGATCCGTGGGGCAGGAAAGGGCAGAGAAGACGAGGAGCATCGGTGCTGCCTGTACTGAAATGCTTTGATCAGGCAACGGTGCTTCCCAGGGGCACAGGCGATGCCAGCCCCAACATAGCCCCTCAGCCCCAACGCATCCCACTGGGATGGCAAAGCAACTAGATTGGGGCTTACTGCTTGAACTCTCTTTGTCGGGGGTACTCAGAAGAAGCTGTGGTGAGGGTGCCACCAGTGATGCAGCGGGCGGACTTGTCTGCCTTGCCGAGGGGCTTGGATCTGCATGGGGAGGCACCATGAGTTGCCGGTCAGGTCAGGTGGGGGATGAAGAAGTGACATAGAAGCAGATAGAGTGAGACGGAGGGGCTCACCTCTGCTTGCCTTGCGCGAGAGTGTCTACCGCCTTCCTCGTGCACCTAGGACTCGGGAAGAACTGAATCGCCGTGCAAGTGGCCTCGCCTTCCTGCTGCCACGACACCTGCACCTCCTCGTCCCGCCGCCAGCTGGAATGGCGGCACAGCGGAGCGCGTTGAAGGTGAGAGAGCGGTTGTTGATCTTCATCCGCGTGCCCACCACGCTCGCCGCATTACCCGATGCTGTGGCTGTTGCCTGCGACGCCCGCAGGGAACTCGCTGCAAAAATCCACGGATGGCATCGTGAATTGCGAAGGTGCACGGGGCGAGGGGGCGAAGCACGGGAAATGCGAAGGTGCACGGGGCGAGGCGGCGCGTTCAGTGGCATCCACGGAGGATGGCAGTGTGTGCCGTGCGAATGCGATTTGCGCCCATTCTAGTGTGAGGTGCATTGAACGCGTGAGGTGCACTGAACGTGTGAGGTGCATTGAACGTGCGAGGTGCATTGAACGTGCGAGCAGGATGACGATGCGAGGAGTGCATGAGCGTGTGCGGCGTACCAGCGATGACGACCATGACGGCGAGCAGCACAAGCACGGTGTTGCCCTCCCCATGCTGCTGCTTCAAGCGGCGGACGACACGGACTCTTCGCCCTTGATCGACCGTGCGAGTGGACAGTTGGGCAGGTTAGCGCGAGTTCGAGCAGACGCTGGTGGCTCAACTCGAGATAGATGAGAGAGACAGCACGGACCTCGTCGAATGACTCGTAGGGTTGGGGAAAGCACGAGTAGATGGTGCAGCAAAGAAATCACACGGGTAGCGCTGGGTGAAAGATGATAGATTTGGTGCCGGAGAAAGACACGAAAGACACGAAAGAGCGTTCGGTGCTGAGTGACGAGGACGATCGCCCCTCAGGATACAATATAGTACTATGCGTCGCAACGACAGCAGTGACTAACAGAATGCGTGAGGCGGAACCTCTGTGGCGGGTGTGGCGGGAGATGCGCACCGTGCCCGCCATGGGCGTGATGCCCTGGGCCGTGAGCATCGCTGTGAGAGTAGAGAAGAGAACGCGTTCCTTGGCGTGGCAAGGTCTCCGTGGGGTGCGGACGCTATGGTGGAATGGATGGGCAGGAACGACTAGGGTATGAATGCCATCATGTGAGGGCCGAGTCACATTTGTTGTTCTTCACAACGTTTATTCTTGTACGCAACGGTCCAAAGCGGTGAAAACAGAATAATGATGTGACATTGTGGTGGTGATCCACCGTTGTCACCAACCATAGTCAAATACACAAAGTTATCATTATGGAAAGAAATTGTATGTAAAGATTGTTACGAGTGCAATTGAGTGAGCGAACGAAGATTGCAATATCGAAGCAAATTACTATGAGCGAAGGAATGATGTCAACAATATATAGTGAAAGCTGTGTGGAGAAATATTAGCACAAGTGGTAGTTAGGTTTAGGGCCTAGGCTTAGTAGCCTAGGCCAAAGGGGAGTCGAGTAGATTTGTACCAAGGAGAGAGGAGAAAATGTTGGTTTCACTATGGAGAGGGTCACAACATATAGGGCAGGAAAGGGGGGTACACCACCAAGCAGGATTATCAAGATAACTACACTAACGCTAGAACCTACATGCAGTTATAACAACATAATTCTGACATCCCCTCGTAACTGCATGCAGGAATAGCCAAGTGCAAGACACCACTTGCAGGGGTACATCACAGACAAAGAAAATAGCAACAGCATGCAAGAGCAGATGCAAGTTCACAAAATATAAAGGACAAGTGGCAGCACTAGAGGGGCAGGTGAGGAGGAGGAGTTGGGAGGCGGCAGGTGAGGCTGCTGGCTTCACGGCGGCTGCCTCCTGGAACCTCCCCCATGCTCCCAAACCCCCTCTGCACACTCCTCAACATCCCTAGTGCCACTCCCCCGGCCCCCCACACCCTCAAACCCTCCCCCCCCCAGCGGCAGCTGCAGCCGTGGAGGAGAGAAAGGAGGAGGAGGGGAAGGGGATCACACACACCCATCACCCCCATACCCGCCACCTCCATACCCTCCCCCCCACGGCTGCACGCGCAGCAGGGAGACGAAGGAGGAGGGGGGGGGGGGGGGGGGGGGGGGGTGGGGGGTGGCGGGGGAAGAAGCCGCCCCACGGCCACAGAGGGGCGGCGCGCAGGGAAGGGCAGGGCAGGGGCGGCTGCACCGAGGGCAGGCGCCTGAAGGACAGGGGCGGCTGCACCGAGGGGAGGCGCGGGTAGGGCAGGGGCGGCTGCACCGAGTGCAGGCGCATGTGAGGCAGGGGCGGCTGCTCCGAGGGCAGGCGCGGGTGAGGCAGGGGCGGCTACTCCGAGGGCAGGCGCGGGTGAGGCAGGGGCGGCTGCTCCGAGGGCAGACGCGGGTGAGTCAGGGGCGGCTGCTCGAAGGCAGGCGCGAGGTGAGGCAGAGGCGCCGTCGCGGGCGCCAGGGGCGGGTCCGCAGCAGCTCAGGGCACCGTCGCGGGCGCCAGGGGGGCGGGTCCGCGGCGGCTCAGATCACCGTCGCGGGCGCCAGGGGCGGGGGTCCGCGGCGGCTCAGGGCACCGTCGCGAGCGCCAGGGGCGGTTCCGCGACGGCTCAGGGCACCGTCGCGGGCGCCAGGGGCGGGTCCGCGGCGGCTCAGGGTGTCAAACTTATATACTATAGTCTGTTTAGGCTGTAGTGGGGTAGTAGTCTTACAGGGTACAACACTTTTAGGTTTCCTATATATACCCACCTGCTTTCTAGTTCAGTCATTTCATTCGTTCACATTCTAACATGGTATTCTGAGCAGGTTCCCTAGTGGGAACGTCTTTTTTTTTGGGCCCACCACATTTTTTTTTTCCTACCCGAAGCTCGCCTCGCGCCTGTTTCACCTGCGCCGTCGCGCCCCTGCCCTTGTGCCGCCCGTCGTGGCCCTGCCTTAGTGGCCCGTCGTGGCCCTGCCATAGAGGCCCGTCCCGGCCCCTCCCTAGAGGCCCGTCGCGGCACTCCCTAGAGGCCCGCCCCGGCCCCGCCCTAGAGGCCCTGCCTTAGAGGCCCGGCCCGCCCCGGCCCGTCGCCGGCCTTTCACGGCCCGTTCCAGCCGTCGCCGGCCATCGCCGCCGCGTCGCAGGACCCTTCGTCGCAGGCCCCATTGCCGCCCGTCGCCGGCCGTCGCTGGCCTGTTGCCGCCCGTCACCGGGCCCGTCGCCGGCACGTTGCCGCCCGTCGCCGGCTGTCGCTGGCCCGTTTGCCGCCCGTCGCCGGCCAGTCGCCGGCCCGTTGCCGCCCGTCGCCGGCCGTCGCTGGCCCGCTGACCGCCCGTAGCCGGCCCGTCAGCCAGCCCCGTTGCCGCCCGTTGGTGGCCCGTCACTGGCCCTGTCGCGGCCCTGCCTACACCGCCCCGTAGCGGCCCTGCCCCCTGCTGCCGCCCCCAGTTGCGGCCCTGTCTGCACCCGCCCCTGGTAAGCACCCGCGCCGCCAGGAGCCGAGCCGCGCCACCAGCCGAGCCGCGCCGCCTCAGCCCGAGCCGCGCCGCCCCAGCCGAAGCCGCGCCGCCCAGCCGAGCCGCGCCGCCCCACAGCGCCCGCCCTGCCCTACCGAGCCGCACTACTATACACTACCCTACTACCTCTGCTGCTACTGCTGCTTTTGCTGCTACTGCTGCTACTCTTGCTACTTGCTCCTACTGCTGCTTATGGCTAGTCCTACCGTTCTTACCTTTGACGCTGAGGGACGTGCAGTTGACTTTGACGTGTGGGTTGACGACCTCCAGCACTTTCTTCAGTGTGATTCTAGGGATGGGTTGTCCCTTTTTTATCACACGTCCGGTGTTTCTACTGCTCCTACTGCCAGTGCTGACAGTACGGTTCGCTCGCAGTGGACCACTCGTGACGCTGTTGCTCGTCTTGCTGTTCGTAGTCACCTGCCGCCTGCTGAGCGCGCGCGCATTTTGGCCAGTACAAGACTGCTCAGTCTTTGTACGACGCTGTAGTTGCGCGCTACTCCTCCCCTGCCACTGCTGCCCTCAGCCGCCTCATGCTGCCGTACCTTTTCCCTGACCTTGCTGCCTTTGCCACAGTCGCTGACCCTAGTTGCTCACCTTCGCACTAGTGACGCCCGCTACCCGCGCTGCCCTTCCCACTGAGTTCTGTGCCAAGAATCCCCCCCCCATGTACATCACCCTTTACTACCTACTCACCCGCCTCCCTGACTCACTTTCTTCAGTCAGGGACCACTTTCTCTCCCTTTGCCCCACCAAGCTGACTGTCGACCTGCTAGAGGAGCGCCTTACTACAGCTGAGAAGAGTATCTTAGCTGTAGGTGCTTCTCGCGGCGACCGTCACAACCCCTTCTTTGAGGGGTGTTCCCCTGTCCCCCTTCTCCCCTCTGTTGCTTCTGCTGCTGCTGTCGACCTCGTTGGCACTGAGGAGGTTGGAGCTGCGTCTTGCCCCTAGTGGGAGACGCCGCAACAGCAGGGGCAAGGGGATCAAGGGTGGTGGAGGGGGCGGCGGGGGGGGTGGTGGAGGAGGTGGAGGAGGCGGAGGGGGGTGGCGGTGGAGGTGGGGGTGGTACCGGGAGTGGGGGCTTCAGAGGCGGCGGTGGAGGTGGTGGAGGCAGCGGCGGAGGTGGAGGAGGCAGCAGCAGCGGTGGTGGAGGTGGCGGCGGGCGGTGTGGTGCTGGTCGAGGTGCAGCCGCGCAGCGTGGAGGCTTTGGTGGTAGCCAGCGCCAGCAGCAGCCGCGCTCCCGTGAGACTCCGTCGGTCCAGCAGCTTCGTGAGTGGTACGCTGGGCATGGGAGGTTTGGGGGTGCTGGTCCCTGCACTTACGTTCTTCGCTCCAGCACTCGTAGTGGGGAGGTGTGTGGGCTCCCACACACTACGCAGCGCTGCTTCGGTCGCTTGACTGACGCTTGGCGTGCCCAGTTTCCTGACGCCGTTGAGCTCCCTCGCTGGCATGATCCGCTTCTGCAGAATGTGCCTATCTTTAATCTTGACTTCGATGCTATCCTTGCTGCCATGTATGCTATTGCTGATAGTGCTGAGGGTGACTGTTACCTGCGTGTCCCGCCCGACCCGGGCATTGCGGCTGCTGCTCTAGGTGCTAGTGCGTCTGCTGCTCCAGGTGCTGGTGCGTCTGCTGCTCCAGGTGCTGGTGCGTTTGCTCTCTCTGGTACAGCACCTACTGAGTCCTTGCACACTTTCACACTTGACTCTGGTGCTTCGCGCTCTTTCTTTAGAGACAGCACCATGCTCACGCCGCTCCGTCGGCCTGTTGCGGTCTCCCTTGCTGACCCCTCCGGGGGCCCAGTACTTGCACACTCCTCCACGGTTCTACCGTGTCCTGCGGCCCTGTTGGGCTTGCTGTCGGGACTCCACCTCCCCTCGTTCTCTACGAACTTGGTGAGTGGAGCTGACCTCCAGGACGCGTGGGTTGACCAGTTCACCCCTGGAGGTCAGCGTGTGACCCATTGCACTTGCTCTCGGATGGGCCGCCACCTGGCCACGTTCACCCGTCGGCCAGGGTCGAGTCTGTACACACTGACTACTACGCCTCCTCCGGTCCTTGCGTCTGGTCAGGTAGCTGCGTCTAGTCAGGTGTTTGCTGCCGCGTCCAGGTCTAGTCCTGCGTCTGCCCCCTGCTCGTGTCGTCCTCTGGCACACGAGACTCTCCTTTGGCACCACCACCTTGGTCACCCCTCCCTGCCTCGTCTTCGAGGTATGGCCTCCCGTGCTCTTGTCTCTGGGCTCCCCAGGACCCTCCCTCCCCTTCCTCCGGGGCCTGCCCCCACCTGTGTTCCTTGTGTCGAGGGCCGGCAGCGCGCCGCTCCTCACTCCTCCTCGTTCCCTCCGACTGAGGCCCCTTTGCAGACTCTTCACATGGACGTGTGGGGCCCAGCCCGCGTCCGTGGACAGGGTCACCAGCGCTACTTCGTGCTGGTCGTTGACGACTACTCGCGTTACACCACTGTCTTCCCCTTGCGCAGCAAGGGTGAGGTCCCTGAGGTGTTGATCAACTGGATCCGCGGTGCTCGTCGCTGGCTCAGTGAGAGTTTCGGCACCTTCCTGTTCTGCGTCTGCACTCAGACAAAGGTGGGGAGTTTTCCTCCGACCTCCTGAGAGCCTTCTGTCGTTCGGAGGGCATCCGCCAGACGTTCACGCTTCCGGCCTCCCCGCAGCAAAATGGGATTGCTGAGCGCCGCATTGGCATGGTCATGGACGTCGCTTGTACGTCCATGATCCATGCGGCTGCTCCCCATTTTCTGTGGCCGTTCGCGGTTCAGTACGCTGCGCATCAGATCAACCTTCAGCCTCGTGTCTCCTTGCCGGAGACCACACCTACTCTGCGGTGGACGGGGAAGGTTGGCGATGCGTCCGCGTTCCGTGTCTGGGGATCTCGAGCTTTTGTCCGCGATACTACAGCGGACAAGCTGTCCTCCCGTGCCGTTCCCTGAGTCTTCCTTGGCTTCCCTCCTGACGCACCCGGGTGGCAGTTCTACCACCCCACCTCGCATCGTGTTCTGTCCTCTCAGGACGTCACGTTTGACGAGTCGATGTCGTACTACCGTCTCTTTCCCTACCGCACTGCCTCTCCCCCCCCCCCGCCGCTCTTCCTGGCACCAGGTACTCCCCCGGTAGACCCCCTCCCCCCCCAGGGTCCTGCCCCCTCAGGTGTGTCCCAGGTAGACCCTGCCGAGCCGGTCGAGGTAGCTGTCGACTCAGGTGCTGAGTCTGGGGGTGCTGAGCCTGCGGGTGCGGGGACTGGGGGTGCTGAGTCTGGGGGTGCTGAGTCTGGGCGTGCTGAGCCTGGGGGTGCTGAGCCTGGGCGTGTGGAGCCTGAGGGTACTGTGTCTGGAGGTGCTGAGCCCGCGCGTGCTGCGTCTGGAGGTGCTCTAGGTGTCCCGCCGCAGCGGGAGCCTCTCTCTCAACAGCAGCTTCGTGAGTGGTACTCTCGGCGCTGTCGGGGTGCTGCTGGAGCTACTGGAGGTACTACTGGGGCTTCTGGAGGTGTTGCTGGTGCTGGTGCTGCTGGAGGTGCTGCTGGTGCTGGAGGTGCTGATGGAGCTTCTGGAGGTGCTGCTGGTGCTGGTGCTGCTGGAGGTGCTGCTGGTGCTGGAGGTGCTGCTGGAGCTCCTGGAGGTGCTGCTGGTGCTGGTGCTGCTGGAGGTGCTGCTGGTGCTGGTGCTGATGGTGCTGGTGCTGCTGGAGGTGCTGCTAGTGCTGGGGCTGCTGGAGGTGCTGCTGGTTCTGGAGCTGCTGGAGCTGCTAGAGGTGGTGCTGGTGCTAGAGCTGCTGGAGGTGCTGCTGGTGCTGGAGCTCCTGGAGATGCTGCTGGGACTAGAGACCCTGGGGCTAAGGGTACCGGTTCTGTCTCTGCTGTTTCTGGAGGCGCTGTGCGGCCGCGTCCGTACTACGTTCCGCTTCTTCAGCAGGTTCTTGACTCCCAGCCTTCTCCTGGTCCTCCTCCTCCTTTACGGAGTCCACCACCTGTCCAGTCTCAGTCGCGGTTCCAGCCAGCCTCTCCACTGCCTGGTCCTTCTCCTTACTCTGGACCGACTAGAGGTCTTACAGAGCGTCGTGAGCCTGAGTCTCGTCCTGTGTCACCTGAGTCTCGTTCTGCATCGCCTGTCCGTCCTGTTCGCGCTGATCGTGTTTCGCGTCCGCGTCCTTCTCCTGTCCCTGGCACTCACTCTATGACTCTGCGTCCTTCCACTGCTGCACAGCGTGTCCCTCTGCCGTCTTCTCCTGCGTCCTCTCTTCCTGCCGGTCTGGACCCTGCGTCTGACTCCCTACGTGTTGCTAGTCCAGTTGTCACGCGTTTCCTGGCCACTGCTGTTACTGACCCTTCGTTTGAGTCCACTGCTGCGTCTGCTCTTGTTACTGAGCTTGTTGACTTTGCTGCAGCCTGTCGCCTAGACTACGCCGCTAGTCTTGTTACAGAGTCTGCGTCTGTGTCTGTCTGTCCTCCGTCCGTCGGGGGTGAGTGTGCTCTTGGCACGGACGTTCTTGAGGACAGACAGGAGGAGTTCGAGTGCTTTGCTGCTTCTGTACCTCATCTCGTGTCCATGCTGCTTGCCCCTGAGGGAGACCCGGATGCACCAGATATCCTGAACCCACGCTCTTACGCAGAGGCGATAGAGGGTCCCTACTCCTCTCAGTGGCAGGCAGCCATGGACGCCGAGATGGCTTCCTGGAAGTCCACAGGCACCTACGTCGACGAGGTTCCCCCGCCTGGGGCGAACATCATCAGTGGCATGTGGATCTTCAGGGTGAAGCGGCCGCCAGGTTCTCCGCCTGTCTTCAAGGCGCGTTACGTTGCACGAGGCTTCAGTCAGCGACAGGGAGTTGACTTCTTTCAGACCTTCTCCCCTACCCCGAAGATGACCACTCTTCGGGTACTGCTGCACGTAGCTGCTCAGTGTGACTACGAGCTCCACTCGCTTGACTTCAGCACAGCCTTCCTACAGGGCAGGCTGCACGAGGAGATCTAGCTGCGCCGCCCACCTGGCTTCACTGGGTCGTTTCCAGCTGGTACCCAGTGGAGCCTCCGACGGCCAGTCTACGGTCTCCGCCAGGCACCCCGTGAGTGGCACGACACACTCAGGACGACTCTTGCTGCTCTTGGTTTTGCTCCTTCCACTTCTGACCCTTCTCTGTTCTTACGCACTGACACCACTTTGCCGCCTTTCTACGTTCTCGTATACGTAGACGACCTCGTCTTTGCTACTGCTGACACTGAGGCACTCGCCCACGTAAAGTCCGAGCTGCAGAAGAGACACACGTGCACAGACCTGGGTGAGCTCACAAGCTATCTTGGCTTGCGGATCACCCGGGACAGAGCACAGCGCACCATTACCTTGACTCAGTCACACATGGTGCAGCAGGTCCTTCAGCGCTTCGGCTTCACGTACTCCTCACCACAGTCCACTCCTCTGCCTACTGGTCACTCGCTCTCAACTCCACCTTCGGACGAGTCCATAGAGCCGAGTGGCCCGTATCCAGAGCTTGTGGGCTGCCTCATGTACCTGATGACTTGCACACGACCTGACCTCGCATACCCTCTCAGCCTTCTGGCTCGCTACGTGGCTCCCGGCAGGCACCGAAAGGTGCACTGGGATGCTGCGAAGAGGGTGTTGTGATACTTGTTCAGTACATCGGGCATGGGCTCGTGCTTGGAGGACGGGCTCGAGTTGTCCTCACTGGTCACACTTTCGCCTCCTGGGTTGACGACTTGGCTACGCAACGGTCGTCACAGGGTTACACCTTCAGTCTTGGCTCCGGTTCTGTCTCTTGGCAGTCTACCCGTTCTTCTTCTGTTCTCAGCTTGAGTTGTGAGGCTGAGATCTACGCTGGGGCCATGGCTGCATAGGAGCTATGCTGGCTCACCTACCTGCTGACCGACTTGGGAGAGGCGCCTCGTTCTCCTCCAGTTCTGTACGTCGACAACAAGGCCATGCTGGCTTTGTGTCAGGAGCACAGATTGGAGCACAGAACGAAGCACTTTGCTCTGCGCTACTTCCTTGCTCGAGAGTTGCAGCAGCTTGGCTAGCTTCGTCTTGCTTACGTGGCCTCACAGGCCAACACTGGTGATGTTTTCACCAAGGCACTTCAGCCTTGTGATCATCAGCGTTTCTGTACTGTGTTAGGCCTTGTACCTACTGTGCCTCACTTGTTGACTTCTTGACTCTGCTTGTACTGTACTCTATATACTTATACCTGCATGCGTACACTTGCTAGGTTGTGTTCACTGTATTGTTTGTTTTCCTTTATATAACTCTGCATGTGAGCTGGCATTGTGGCCCTTTGCTTGTGCTCAGACTGCGTGGTGATTTTGTGATCCACCCTGAGCTTGCTTTGCCTTTCTTGACTGGTCTTGTGACCTCTTGTTCTCCCCCACTTTGCCTATGGGGGTGTGTCAAACTTATATACTATAGTCTGTTTAGGCTGTAGTGGGGTAGTTCTTACAGGGTACAACACTTTTAGGTTTCCTATATGTACCCACCTGCTTTCTAGTTCAGTCATTTCATTCGTTCACATTCTAACACAGGGCACCGTCGCGGGCGCCAGGGGCGGATCCGCGGCGGCTCTGGGCACCGTCGCGGGCGCCAGGGGCGGGTCCGCGGCGGCTTAGGGCGCCGTCGCGGGCGCCAGGGGCGGGTCCGCGACGGGCAGAAAAAACGTCACGCGCCACCCGGGCACGGGACAGAACGAAAATTGCCACGCGCCCGAGGCGCGCGACCGGAAAAACAGCGGCGGAAGCGTGAGGCTGGCCCACAGGCCAGGACTTAACAGGCTCTAATACCATGTGCGAAATATTAGCACAAGTGGTAGTTAGGTTTAGGGCCTAGGCTTAGTAGCCTAGGCCAAGGGGGAGTCAAGTAGATTTGTGCCAAGGAGAGAGGAGAAAATGTTGGTTTCATTATGGAGAGGGTCACAACATATAGGGCAGGAAAGGGGGGTACACCACCAAGCAGGATATCAAGATAACTACACTAATGCTAGACCTACATGCAGTTATAACAACATAATTCTGACAAAAGCCTAGCGTGGTAACGGTCATGCGCGAGAATGTGGTGCACGACGGGCCTAGCGCAGAGGTTGGGAATTGTCGAGGCAGAGGAGCGGAGCACGGGTTACCAACCGAACCGTGAGGTTGGGTCGCGAGGTGTACAGTGGCGGGAACAGTGGTCGAGGCGAATGTCGCAAGCGGGTAACGTTTTACTGTTGGGTGCTGTTGGCGAGAACAGTCATGTAAGCGCTAAGCAGGGGTGCGAAGTAAGGAAATGGAAATTTCCTTACACTGCCCCCCTTCCCATGGAGGCTCCCCTTACGAGAATGCGTGTACATCCCGGAAGTTGCGGCTGCGGAGATACTCGGTGAAGACAGGGTGATTTTCGATTCTATCCAAGGGCACCTAGTTATTTTCAGTAGGCGTACGATCTTTCCAATGAATCAGGAATTCGATCCTACAGGCTCCTCGTGGGTCACGAACTCGGTGGCTTCAGATTTTCTCAGGCTTGATGATCTGTCAGAGGTCCACTGGTGATCCTCGATTGATCCATAGGAAGGGTTACAGGCTCGTTGTCCTGGGGGGTTATGGGCGCACTGACCCGCTACTTAACAAGCCCTTTTATCCCAATGGTCTCGTGACTGGGATTCTGACATGATCGGCTCTGTTGGCGGTCGTGTACTGCTGGCTGGGCGGTTGCGGGGCAGTTGACTGGTGGATGGGACGTATGGGCAGAGCAGGCTAACGTGGAATGACGAGCTGACGTACCAGCCAGCACGGAGGAGGAGGTGGGTGGGGACGGGTGTAATCATGTGACTAATTCGGAATGGCCCGAAATATCGTGGGCGGAGTTTCAGAGTGATGGGCAGGTGGAGGTTTTGGGTGTCGAGTAACATGAGGTCGTCGGGCTGGTAAGTGATGGGGCGGCATTGGCGATCGGCATTGCGCTTAGCGATGATGTTGGATTTTTTAATATTTTCTGCTGCTCAGGTCTAGGCGGCCTGTAATATTTCGGCGAACTGTTGTGCGCGTGGGATTGGGTTGTTAGGATTCGGGGTCATAAGTATTGTGGGGGTTTGTCCGTAGTTGAGGTAAAATGGTGATTGTTGTGTCATGGCTGACGTGGTCCATTTAGCCACTTCGTTAAGCCCCACAGCATCTACAGGCGATTGCTCGGATTAACTGCTCCATTGTCTGGGCTGGTCTGGGCGAGTAGTATGGCGTATATCTAGGTAGTGGGGCGGGTCTGTGCTGTAGCGATATCCGAGGCTCATTTTTTGTAGGTGACTGCGTAGTGGAAGTTGGACTCGAGGAAGTCCAGCCAACGGACCTGTCGTGGGTTGAGGTGGGGCTGTGTGCAGAGGTATTGTAGTGATTTGTGGTCCGACCGTACTGTCATGTCAGCGCCAGTCAAGTAACAGCACGAGACCTTGAATGCGTGCACGATCGCGAGCATTTCGCGGTCGTGTATCGGGTAATTCTTCTCAAGCGGATGCAGTTTTCAAGACTCGTATGCAATGGGCTGTAATCCGTTGCCGAAGTCCCTGTAGCAGTACGGCTCCGATGGCGATGTTGCTTGCATCTGTAACCACTTCGAATGGGCGGTGTGGGCCGGCAATGCGCAGTATGGGCGGTGAACAGAGAAAAATTTTCAGGGCAGAGAAGGCAGCATGCTCTTTCTCCCGCTACATAAAAGTGACTTCCTTTCGTAGCAGATCCGTAAGTGGGGCAGTTAACTGTGCCATGTTGGGGACGAACCGGCGCACATAATTAACGAACACTAAAAAGCTTCTCAGCTCCGTGATATTTGTTGGGGGATGCCACGCTTTCACTGTGTCCATTTTTTTCGGGTCGATCTCAACTCCAGCCTCCGTAATAACGTGCCAAAAAAAATCTAACATGTCGTGAAAGAACTCGCACTTTGAACCCTTGGACAGTAGCCGATGCTGGTCTAGAAGTTTAAATTCTGCTTCCAGATCTGTTAAGTGTTGCTTGTCCCAACTGTAAACTAAGATGTCGTCGAGGTAAACTATGACACATTTTATCTAAAAGCAACCTAAACGCCTCGTTCGGATGTTTTTTTTCTCCAACAGGTAATTGTCAGAAGAATGAACGAGAATGAATGAACTATGAAAGAGTTGGGTACAAGTAGTAACCCTAATTGGGTTGTACCCCTTATGGGCTACCCCACTATAGCCTACACAAATGTAAGCACTAAAACATTCTGACAGTAATCTAGTTGCTTCTGCAGTTAGTCGAGCTCGGGCTTTGTCAGTCTGATCTGTCGCTGTACGGTTGGCTGCGTCACTGGTTCTAACTCTATGCGGTGGTCATGTGCTCGCTGAGGTGGCGGTCCCTCTGGTAAATCATATGGAAAAATCCTCGGGTACCATTTCAGTAGCTCCTGTAGTTTGGGCAGTACGGCTGCCAGCCGTTTCTCAAAATCATTCGGCTTCTATACTTCATCTACCACCGCGATGTCCACTATGTGTTCGAAGAATGAACGAGAATGAATGCATTGAGCAAAAGTTGGGTACAAGTACTAACCCTAATTGGGTTGTACCCCTTATGGGCTTCCCCACCATAGCCTACACAAAGTAAGCAATATAACATTCTCGCACTACGTATGCGTAAGCTTCAGCGGCGACAGCCCGTTTCATTGTGATGGCATTGACGTAGACCGAGACTCAGGCAACAGCCAGCGAGGTAGTGCGACCCAGTTATTGCCGCTTCGCACGGTGCATTTACCTGTCGTCCAGTCAATTCTTGGGTTGTAGTGTCGTAGCCAATCACGTCCCAGTAAAATGTCGTGCCCATCCAGCATCCTCGCGAGCATTTCCTGTGTAAATCCGAAATTCCCCCCCTGCAGAGGACCTTCACTCTCTCCACTTTCTCCTGTATAGCCAGTGGCGTGCCGTCAACTAAGCGTGCATCAATGTCCGATAAACAGCGGCTAAGTGTCAGGTGCAGCTTCCGTGCCGT